ATAAAGGAGTTAGTCAAAGAAGAACAAAGTCCAAAGTTAGTAGAAGAAAGAATCTAAAAGTTCAATATTAGACAATAGGTTGAATAAGACATGGTGCCTCCTACCAATGCAACCATCAAAAATAAAACTATAGAAGGATATTTACAGGCATGGAAAGATGATTGTTATCTACTATTCAGTGAGAACAAGTTACAAGCAGTATACAGAGTATAATTTTGTTTTAGACAAAAGATATGTATAATGTGTATATTCATGGTTAGGAAAGGATATTCGCACTGGTTATCTCTGAGCTAGGCAATTATAATTTTCATTTTCTTCTATTCTTAATTATTCTACAATGAGCATGTACTACTCTTGTAATAAAACTCCAACGAAAGTTATTTTTCAAAAATATATCAATGCTAATACCCTATAAATTAGCAGTCGCCAACCTTTCAGACCTCACGGATCACCAGTGGTCCGTGGACCGCCAGTTGGTGACTGCTGCTCCAAAGGTTTCCTTAAACCACTGGTCGTCAACCTTTCGAACCTCACAGACCACCAGTGGTCTGTGGACCACCGGTTGGCGACCAGTGCTATAAATGATACTGTGAGACATGTTAGCCTCAGCCCTCAGTGGCTAAAAATATTTAATAGAAGTCTGCAAAAAGGTGTAGGGAGGCCTGAATTATTGCTGTTTTACAAATGGAGCCCTGTGACCAGGCCTTGGACCACTAAGGATGGGGGCATGGGCTTTGCCTCCAGAACAGCTGTCGCAGTTTAGGCCTACCTGCAGAAAGAACAGCTGCAAAACAAGGACAAAAAAAAGTAGCACCTATCTTGCCCAAGACAACAGATCCAGGTAGGCTGGGTCCACTCTGCATGGCCGAGCCTCCACTGGGCATTTTTCATGTCTAAGTCACATAACAAAGAATGTGAGAGCAACAAGGGACCCACTAGTCCTAGGTCTTCGTTTACAGTTATGGAAAGTGAGGCCAGATGGGCGCATGTTGCTCAATCCACCTTCTTCTTGAAAGTTGCAGCAGTGGCTTGAAGTGATATCAATACCAGAGTGTCTGATAACTAAATACCCATTTCTGGAGTAGACTCACCTATTGGGAGCCTTAATGGAAGAGAGTTAGTTCTGATATATGGCTTTAAAAAATCCAAAATCTTGCCCTGTATGCCAACTGCCACCATGCTTGGTGGAAATCTAATCTAATCTAATCTAATAAAAGACAAACATGCAAATTGACCATACCTTCGCTACACCTTAAGCCATGCCCA